GGCCACTACAACTAGCTGAAGGCCTTGTGGAATTTCGGCAATTTGTTTTCCCCTAGTTGAGTTGAATATTTTGAGCAGGGGTGGCTGGATGAGAAGGACGCGGGAACCAGACTTAACCCTTTTGGGCAATGTGACTCTGCCAGTCACCGCCATCGTCACACGTCAGCGCACTATCATCAGCTTGTTTACACGCATAATTATGTGTGCCGGATTCCTGGAATTGCTCCAGGTTTCCGGCTTGCCCACTCCATTTCGACTCCTTGCCCTGAATTATCCTTGCGGCTTTTGGGGGCTACCACGCCAGACGACTTAATGCAACGTGACAGATTTCTCACTTGAACTTAAGATGACGGGAAATGTCACAATGTGATGCTGATAATATGCTAATGGGGTTTGTTTGTTTGTTTGATTTATATTTCCCTCGTCATGGCTGCGAGGAGGTGTCGACGCCAATGGGCAAGGTCAGGTCCCTTAAACTCAGGTAAATTGGTAGTTAGTGTCGGGGACCTTTTCAACTTATTTATATTAAATAATTGTACAATGGTAGTAGCAATTTATTGCTAGTGTTATTATGTTTAAAAAAGAGTTTAGCTGAAGTATGTTAAAATATCTTTATACCCTTACTCCTGGAATAATGCATATGCTAGATGTGCAGGAACAAATAAAGAACTGTGTTTTCTTCTATGTATATATATATATATACTAGCGGACCCGGTGGACGTTGTCCCTCCCAAAATTCGTATTTAAACAGATGGCTCCCTCAATTTTTTTCAATAAATGGAAATGGAAAACCCACACACAACTTAATTCATTTAAATTAATTTCATTGTATTTTAAAGCAATACATAATACATATTCCACAATACATAACACAAACGTCAAGCGATTGACCTTGTGACCTATTTATTGACATAGCGAACGCAAGACGTACCGGAAACTGAAGTCGTTTCAGACCCTTTCAAGATGGTTGCTTTAATAACATTCGGCTTCAATCTCAAAAGGCAATTTATTATGTATTTCTCAACAAAATATCGCCGAACCAATTTTTTGCCCGCAAATTACATATATGTATGGTGGCAATCCTGGTATTCCAAATCCAATGAATTTAAAAACTCAGTTGGATAATTGACAACGTCGTCTTCATCAGTGATTGTGTCAACTGATTAGCAGGAATGTATATTCTTATGTAGTATTTCATTTTGAATCGAACAATTTATTTCGTCTGCATTCCTTGCCGCCAATATTGCTCGTGGACTCAATCATGAATGATTCTTGTAAGTTTCTCGAATGTCAGGAAAAAGTTATTGATGAGATCTTCCTTCGATTCAGTTAGTTTGTGGAAATGATATCAATCCCGTCACACAATCAACTTGCCATTGCCAAAGTCCAACAATTGTTTTAAGATTTCTGCTGTTTGATCATACTGCAGGACAACACGTATATTGGTGGTCAACTTAATAACTTTCACATATCGCCACAAATTTGAAGACTTTAAGCAAGCATTAATTTCGTATTAATTAATAATTAATAACGAATGAAACAACCAAAAATGCGCAATCGAAAAAAAAACAATAACAACCTATTCACTAACAAAACTCGTTTCATTTAAGCAACAAAGCAAGGATATATTGTTTCATAAACATACGTTCAGCTGTTGACGTTGTAGCTTGAAACGATTTTTTCTATTATTCGGTTTTTCCAAAGATATTCCGGATTTTCCGCATAACTTTGTTTTGCTGCCAGAGAACACGAGTCCAACAGAACAAAACTCATCAAAAGCGAGTTATAAGAGTTCATAGAAACACCAATATTATTTTATTTATGTATAGTGACATATGTACGCTTCCCAAGCCCGCCAATTAAATTATTTCTTAGAACAATAAACAATAAAGCACCTATTTTATTTCCATACTGCATTTCCATGTTCTTATAAACAATTCTTTGCAAACCATGTTCTTTTGGAGGAATTTCAGAAGACCCCATTCAAAGCCAGTGTACGAGCATTTCTGGAGAAAGCTGAAAACCGCAGATAAATACTTGCCAGTAAACTTGAAATAGAACAAAAACTTGAGGAAAAACTCTATATTTAAGACTAATTAAATGCAGTATATAGTCTCTTTTTGAAAAATTACCTACACAATTATTTAAGAATAAATAACCACAACAAACCAGGATTGCGATCACTTAAAAACCTCTGACAGGAGAAATGCATGTATGAACAAATAAAAGTGGAAATAACCATACAAGTACAACTACCCATAAAACAAAATATCTCTGATAAGCCACAAAAGTCCTTTAATCACAATACTAACTAGACTAATAGCAGCATCAGAAGATATCCAACACCTTTCCAACATTATAACTCACCATTGCCATATCCAGCCTTACAAGTTTATTAAACACCACTAATTAATAATCCATATCCAGCCCCACAAGCTTATCAAACACCACTAATTAATAATCACCATCCAACATCCTATCAGCCCAATACAAACAATAATTTTCATCCTAGCCGAAATACAAACTTTAGACCTCGAACAATATTCAACATCCTACAAACGAATGCATTTAATCAGAATAGATTTAGACAACAACCCCAATATCAAAATCAACAATCACTGGAGTTCCCATGTAACCAACCAACCAATAAAGCGATTAGGACCATCTAACAGCGGACAGACTAGGATGAGTATGGATAAATCGTTATATTAAGAGAACACTGCTTGTCAGCAATATATTCCTTATGACCGTTTTTACTACCCAACTTACGACCATACGGACTTTTATCTGGAGTATCACTATCAAACTGACCGAAACAACCACAACTGCCGCAGCAGATTAATACCGACAACCAAGAACCCAATGTAGAACAAGCCGAAAATGTTCAGCGATAAGTCTTGGAAAACGCCAGTATATAACAATTAAAAACAAAGAAAATAATTTAAAATGTCTTATTGATACCGGACTTACCAATTTGACTTACCAATCCAGAAAACCAATAATCTCTTTCATACCAGCAATGGACCGCTCATTATCAATTAAAGTATAGCCACACACCTTCAAAGATTTTGTTCCCAGCACCAACGGAATTTTTATTGCACCCATCCTCTGAATACTACGGTCTCTTATTAGGAAGAAAACTTTTGGCAGAGCGTTCAATTGGTTACTTCTAACAATAACAAATACGAATTAATCTAAGGCGCAGCAGCACAAGTCACATTAAGTCACTTTCAAGATGTAAGCATGGACCTGCACCATGCTTAGACATCCAAGAAATACCCATACCAAGTTGACATATACTAATCAAACCAATCAGAGAATCAATACCAAGTACAATCGACCCATTTATTACCAATTATACAGTTACCCACAGGCTTATTAGCAAGAGGTCGAAAGCCAAACAAGATGTGCTAAATCATCTATACGTACCAGTTACTCAACGTACAATAGCCCCATTTGGGTAGTCCCATAGTCCAAGATGCATTAGGCAATAAAAATTCAGAATTGTAATAGACTGCAGACCCCCAATCCCAAGCATGGACGAAATGTTAGGAGAACTGGGCTGGTGCAACTACTTCACGACTAAAGAGACAGTGGATTAAAAAACGCACCAACTACCTCTCAACGGTGCATAAATTATATTTTGCGCCCACACTTAAATATGCATCATCTCATGTATTTGGACGACCGGAAGAGCACCTACAATCGCTCAGACTAGTTTTCGAAAAACTGGCAAAAGCCAATCTTAAATTACAGATTGATTTTTTAAAGCAGGAAACCACATTTGCACATTTTGGGCATAAAACCAAACCTCAAAAAATTAAAGCTATTCAAAAATATCCAATTCCCAATAAACCTAGTGAAATAAAGTATTTTCTTTGACTGACAGGATACTACCGTATGTTCATTCCAAACTTTGCAGACATAGGAACGAAGTTCCCATTACGAAGTGTTCAAAAAGAAGACGAAATTTGACAAAACCAACCCAGAATATTACTCGGCATTCAAAAAATTAAAAAATCTAATATCAGGACCCAATTCATAAAGTACCCAACTTTACATCAACCACAGACGCAAATGATGTTGCTTTGGGTGCAGTTCTCTTACAAGAGGGTCACCCGCTTAGTTACATTAGCTTTATAGACATGAAACGAACTACAGTACAGTGATTTTTACATTAAGTAAGTACATTGAGAAAAGAAAATTACGTAGCGGACGCTCTATCCAGAATAAATTGAAAATAGAATAGAATCGAGAAGACATACTTGAGCGAACAAATCCAACATAGTGCAAAAGAGGACAATACTACTTTCATTTTTATTACAGAGATACCTTTAAATGCATTTAACAATCAAATAATATTTTTAAAAGGACCACCACTCGTTAAAGTTACAAAATATTAAAAAAAAAACACATCACCCAAATATTTTACGATATTATGACCAGAGAAAATGCTGAACCATGTTTTATAGGCCATTTTTGCGGTAATTGCGGAATGACTAGATTCGTTGATAAGTATCTAACAGGCAGAAGGTAACCATATAAAGTATATACATTCTTGATCAGGATCAAAAGCCGACTCGATCTGTCCATGTCCGTCTGTCCGTATGAACGCCTCGATCTCAGGAACTACAAAAACTGGAATGTTGAGATTAAGCATGCCCAACTTTGTCTTTCCAAGCCCTCTTAATTTTAAAAAATGTTTTGATATTTTTTTTACTTTTGAATATACATATCTTGTAAGCCTTTACAGATTTACTAAAATACTCTTTGCCAAACCGCCCAAATCTGTCAAGCTCACGATTTTGAAAAATTTTTTGATAATTTTTAATTATTGAATATATCTTGTAAATTTCTATAGATTTGCCAACAATTTTTTGGCACGCCCACTCCAACGCCCACAAACCGCCCAAAAACTCTCACGCCCACACTTAAAAAATTTTTAAGTTATTTTTCATTTTATTATTTTTTCCCCATTTTCATTTTAGTGGAATTACGTGTATGGATTATGTCGCCTATAGCGATCTCTTTTCTTGTATCTATTTATGCTATAATAATTTGAATATTTATTATCGGTTTTATCTCAGTCAAAACGGAAGTACACAGTCGCATCCTTGGCCTTGATTACAATACTTTCCTCAGGATTATCGGAATAAGCCGGATAAGGGCAGAGGTGACGGCAAACACCAACACATTAGCACGGACCTCATCCTTGGAGCGCTCCTGGATTCCAGTCGGCTGAATGGGCAGTGTGCGAAACATCTTGACTGCAGATGTAGTTGATTTCGAAGTTGTTGTCTTTCTGCGCTAATGTGTTGTGGCTAACCAGTTCAGAACGATTTATGAATAGATTCTGAAACCAATCAGATTAGTGACAAGCTCGCCAACTCTGACAGGTTAATCAATGACAGGATGAGTGTTTTGGTGAAATATTGAAGTTGTCTAGCTCATAGTGTGTTTATTTTAGTTTTTTTTATAATTTTTAAAACTGTAAGCAAATGGTCCCTGAAACAAGAAGTTAGAGAAAGAGGATCTCAAAGTTTCAAAACAACAAGTTGAAAATATCCAAAGAAATATGCATTTTAAAAGTAGTAAGGTGTAATGGGCTACTCCACAAAAGCCATCCCTTTTGTTATACCCGTTACTCCTAAAGTAATAGAGTATAATAGATGCCCGCTTGATTGAGCGTTAAGATTTTACTGACGCCTACCTTGCGATAGTTGGTTTGAAAACGTTTCCACGCTCAAGCCAAACTGGCACTCCCGCAATTTTGAAAATGTTTTAATTGTATTATTTTTCTATCTGTGTACCAAATATAATATATATTCGCCCCGCCTACACTAACGCCTACAAGCTGCTAACAGCTGTCACTACCCCACTTCTATTGATGTTTGAATATTTTCTTGTTTATTTTTTGTATTGCACATTTCTGACATCATGCCAAAAACTTGTTGGCCACGCCCTCTCCAACTCATACAAAACGGCATATCTCATAAAATGTTACAAAATTATGTTTGACAGTAACATAGCTTCAACCTTCCGAAATCTACACGGAATGTGAAAGGACAAAATCCCCACAAAGAAATCTGACACTACATTGCAGGTCCGACTCAGAGATTTCTTCGGCTATTGCGGACTAAAGTGAGAAACGCTTTCAGCCATTTGACCTAGCGATCACCGAAGATGTTAAAGAAAAACTAAACTTCCTTAATGCTCTGTAACTGGATGCACTATCGTTGGCATTGATAGCAGAATTTCCACGGATTTCCCTAAAAAGATATCCTGTTCCTGGTTCTCCTTTATAACTCAGTGTTACTTATGCAGTATTTTGTCTCTTAATGGAACGTGCTGTGATAACGATGATACCAAACTACGAAATACTATAAGTCCGATAAGTTTGCTACCTATATTCCCTAAAATATTCAGGAGAATATTTCTAATAGAGTTATGGGAGTAAGAAGCGTGCAGGATGCCATTAGCCCCAGGTTGGATTTAGACTCCACCATGGAAACCCAACATTTTCTTGACGCTCAGAAAGCATTTGTCCCTGTGGAGCATGTTTTATAAGTTCAAGACCATATTCCTCCTCAGCGAGGATTGCTGGGTCCCGTTTTATGTACCCTATTTACTTCAGATCTGTCGTGTCCCAATGAACCGGGCCACCTACGCAGGCGATACTGCCTTCATTGCGAATACTTTCTGACCAATTGCATCGTGTAGGATCACTTATGAATTTCTGGACTCATTCGGCATATCTTTAATTAGCAGAAAGTCTGAACACAGGAATTTCTATTTGAGAGGGCAGATGCTTCCTAGAGTTACGATTCACGACGTCACCATCACACAATTACACCAGGCGCAGTATTTTGGTCTGATCCTGGACAAGCGGCCCACCTGGAAGCAGCACACAATAAGCTCAACTGGCGGCTTGAGCCAATTGGCATGTTTACCATTGCCAACGAAGTGTGAGGTTTTAAATAAACTGAGGTCCCTTTAAAGACTTACTGTTTCTACATGCGAAGAATTGCTTCAGACTCGCGCAAAGAATCTAAAACCAAGTGCTAAGAATCTAAACCAACTAAGTGCAATCTAAAACCATTGCAAACGCAAATACGAGTATCCCTTTGTCAGAGAACAAATTAACCAACATTCGAGCTGCAACAACGAACGCCGCACAGCTCTTATTAAGGTCATTAATCTTGCTCGACCAACTCTAGGATAAGAAGGCTTCCAGGATAGGAAGACATCCTGGCGATGTCAGGCCTTTGGACAAGAAGACAACATGTTTCTCGAGGGCTAAGCAATAATATTTTTTATTCAATTGTTATTAATTTGCCTATTATTGTTCTGTTATGAAGTCATATTATATTTTCCCATTACGTTGGTTGATCGTCGTTCAAATAAATATGTCACTCATCAAATTTTTAAATATTGGGTTGGGTTTTGGCGCTCAAGCTAATTGATGGTGACGGCTTCAGAATTCTATGTATAAATAGCTTGTGTTTGAATTAGGAACAAGTTCCCATTTTTGTAAAAATATTACTGATTGATTCTGAAGCCTTGAAGGATAAAAATCCTCAGTACCACAAAGCACCAAGCGGTTTATTGGTTGCCATGTAGATGGAATCGCTGGACTGGGCCTAAGTCAAATACCGTGTTGTGCGCCCATTAGTCCGAGCAGATACCGGTGCACATTATTTCTGGCCACGGCACGTGTTTGAACCGCAAACAGATGAATTTTCGCAGTGCCGAGCCTCGTCCGATTAGGACAACGAAATATGAGCAGGCGGCAGCCACCAAGGGCAGTTTGCGTATCCAGGTCTCGGTCTGAAGCAGGAACTGAAACAGGAGCAGGTCCCGGAGCTGGAGCCGGAGCTGGAGCCGAAGCCGAGGCCGAGGCTGGAGCCGGATCCGGAGACGGAGCTGGAGGAGCACTGCAATTCGTCCTCGGGGTCTTTTTTGTATTAATAATAAATAAACGGAAGGGCCTTGCAGCAGGAGTCCAGCTCGTGTTTTGGACACACTGGAGCGGATTTTAATGGACGAGTGCGAGTGCAGCGGCGGAGTGGAGCTAAAACCCATAAGCCGTACCCGGCGCACACCTTTTACCAGGTGCATGTATGACACCCGAACCCTTCCTACGTTCCTGCCTTGGAATACAGCATTTGCTCGTCCATCTTTTGATTTAGCACCGACATAAAAATGATTTATCAGTGACATTAAAATAATGCACACTGTGGCGCATTTTATGTGCGAATGGATTTTCGCGCCTTTTTGTTCTCGCACTGTGAAGGGTGAGGGACCATGTGGTGGTGGAGTCGGTGCAGTCGCATTTACCCCTTCCAACAGAGCGGCCCGACCAGAAGCAACCCGTGGCAAAGGGGCGAGGCAAGGGTAAATCATGTATGAGGCACACGGGTTTCTCGAACAGCCGTCCGTCGGTCCGTGCGTCCGTCCGTCCGTCCGTCCTCCGGTCCACATCAGACCTTTTGTGCCGCCGTCACCCGAATGTTTTACGGCCGGGGTGTTTGTGACCAGTCTCCGCGAGCTGCATCAGCCGGGCTTGTGGCTGGGAATGGCTGCATGCACCTATCCGGAACTAGAGCGTCCCCTGGATGCTGTGGCATCGTGAATGTAAACTGTGCGAATATAGCGCACTCGTTCTGGCTGCCACGCGTCCACTGGATGGACGCGATGTGTACGATCTGCACTCGGAGAAAGGGTAGGGCCTCTCATGACCCGAACAAATTAAACAACTTGAAGGTGAGAGTAAAATAATCTTTTTCAGGCTTGGTAAGTAATTAATAAAAGTAAGGTAGGTTCTTAGCGACAGCTAACCTAAAAGTTCCCGTAATTGAACAGGTTACTTCCCCAAAAGCATTTTGAAATGTGCCATAACTTGCACCCAGATATGTGACATAGCACTGCGAAAGCGTCGAACGGAAACATCCTGATGCTGGCTACTCGTTGCAGGCTATCAACTGGAACGCGGCTGGGATGCCCTGCTACCGAAATGGACGACAGCATATGGAACTCATTAGAGTGGTCCTGTGTGTGCGAGTTTAATGAGGACACCACAGGAGCGAGAGGGCGCAGGCGCTGGACTTGGGTGCGGGAGGCAGGGACGCTAAAGATGGGACACATATTTGGATGTGGACATGGGCGAGCACATCTGCAGACGCCGCTGATTGCCCGGTCCAATCTCAGTGGTCGCACGATTCCCATGCCTAGCCCATGCCTTGCCCATGCCATTTGGCAGCGTCAGCATAATTTCCTGATGCTAAATGCCAAACGCAGGACGAACCAGAGCGGGCCAGCCGAGCACTTAAGCTCATCCGGCATCGACTGACCGACTGCCAGCGAACGAGTTTGCGAAATGGGATTGGACTTTTGTACCGGGTTTGGCTCGGGCTAAAG